TCCTAATACTTTGAAATTCTCCGTGAAGTCCAAATTTGAAATTGCTACCTGTCACTTCTTTCTTTTTTTCTTCTTTCTTTTTTGTACGTTTTATGTAAACTAAACGCAACAACAACATGTCCCCATGATGTCGAGACCTCAGGTCGGCTGAGGGCAGAAAGCCTCACCATCAATGCTACCACTATGCATTTTTTTGGTCTTTTCCCCAGAAACGTGAAGGTCAATGCCCACCTGCACTTCACTCGCTGGAAGTGGGCAATGGATAGGCTACGAACTAAAGACAAAAGACGAAAATGCTCTAACTCTGTTCCCTCTTCCATTAACTTCTAGATTCTCGCTCCACACATACTGGCATACACAGAGACATAGACAGCAATAGCGACAACACACAAAGTGAAGGGTAGTTGGCCGCAGCCAGATGTGACTCAGAAATAGCATAGCGCGGCGACAACGAGGAAGAAGGCAGAGAGATGCAAACAAAACAGGGAGACTGACAGAGAGAATACATGACAAAAACGAGTAGGCTATGACCTACACAAAGTTGCTCATAGTTCAAGGAGCTAGCACCCTGATCTGGTGCAGTACGTTCCAGTTCAGTGCTGAGGAACAACCCACCAAATTGAGTGTGACAGCATGTAGGGTGTCTATAGTAGTTCAGGTGTCAGGAACTGCCCAGCCAGGACTTGACCATATCGAATGATAGTGGCTGTTTCGGTGAAAAGCTGAGCATTGCTGGCCTCACTGTAATAACAGGTAGGTGATAGTGATACTTCCACGCACTGCACATGAACAATCTGATTCTCAAACCTGACTGAACAGCAAGTGGCGACTATAAAGATCACATATAGCAGATATATCGGTTCAGTTTGGGCTGAACAGAATCAATCCTCCCATAGCCAACCCCTGAAGTACTCTAAAGCAGGGAGTAGAGAAGAGAAAGGAGAAAGAACAAGCAGGAAAAGTACACAGAACAGCAGAGTAAGTCATCTGGATGCAAGAATCATGCACAGGGTTGTGCCACAAACAGACTCGGGACAAGTGAAAACCAATAGGGCCGGCATGATTAAGTTCACAGCATAAAATTGTTGGAATTAATCCAGGAATATTCACACAGTGCCGCCAGGCCTCACACAGAACACACAGAGCCCATGCAAGAAGCCAATAAGTTAGGTCTGATCTGACTTTGCAAAGTGCACGCAACACCTGTCCAATCTGACTAGTACAGTGGGCCAAATTTGACTCCGCACAGTATAGAATGAACTCCTCCAGTAAGACATTTTTACTGGGATACAGCTGCCACCACACAGCATGCAAGACACTCCTCCAATAGGACAGATAATGATACTGGAACTCAATATTTTACTCTTGGTGACCGAAACGTATAGCTGGTAAGATCATTCTACTGGGACCCGTCCAACCTGGTACGTGGCGAACACATTCATTCATCGAGACGCTCAGACAGACTCAACTGACATCGCATATTGCACAATACGTCAACTACATGTAGTAAGACATTGATATTGGGAGGTGGCGGACATTACACACTACCCAATGCAACCATAAAGACTGTTAGAGTGGGACTCATCTGACATCGTGCATTACACAATCGGACGAGCGAGTAAGACATACTGGAATGAACTCCTCCAGTAAGACATTTGACTAGGACACAGCTGACCCCACACCGTATGCAAAGCACTCCTCTAATGAGACATACTGATACTGGAACTCGACATATAACTCTCGGTAAACAATACGTACGCCGGTAAGACCATTCTACTGGGACTCAACCCAACATTGTACGTGGCATAATGCACTCATTCGTTGAAACAATCGTACAGAGACTCAACTGACATCGTACATTGCACAATACGTCAACTAGTAAGACATTGATATTGGGAGGTGGCGGACACTGCCGGGCTGGACGTGCCTTCCGTTGTACGGTGCATAAGGCGCTCATCCAGTGAGAGAGTTACATGGGCACTCATCTGGCGTCGCACAGTGTAGAACGCAATCATCCCGGGCGACAGATCTAGAGGGGTTCGTCTGGCATTGGACAGTGCGCAATGCACTCTTCCAATAAGACAGTTATACTGGGGATCCTCCGTCATCTCGCAGTGCACAATGCACTCTTCCAGTTAGACAGTTATACTTGGCATCCTCCATCATCTCGCAGTGCACAATGCACTCTTCCAGTAAGACATTTATACTGGAAATCCACCGTCACCTCGCAGCGCACAATACACTCTTCCAGTCAGACATACCGGGATTCGTCAGACGTCGCACAGCTCCCGATGCACTCCTTCGGTGAGCCAGTTCTATTGGGACTCATTATGATATTGCACAGCGCATAATGTGCTCGTCGATTAAGACAGTTACACCAGGAATCAACACTGACACTCAGCGCACAATGTACTCATGAAGTAAGACAGTTCTGGGATAGCACAACGCACGATGCGTTCATCAAGTGAGACAGATACAACAGGACATGTCCAGCAACACACTATACGAAGTACACTCATCCAGAAACACAGTTTTACCACACAGTGCATAATGTGCTTGTCAATTAGGATAGTTACACCAGGAATCATCGCCGACACTCAGTGCACAATGCACTCATCAGGCAAGACCGTTGTAACATAGCACAACGCACAATGCGTTCAGTAAGACTGATACAACAGGACTTGTCCGCCCGCACAGTTTGCGGAGTAGTTTGGAGTTGACAGGAGGGTATGCACATCGAAACCACACCTTGTCAACGACCCGTTCGTTCTCAGTTTTAACGACCACACTCAGCGAAAAGAAAACAACAACGAAGCACAACGACACACCAACGCTGATGTGGCATCGCAAATCCCGTCCCGTGCACGCAGGCACTGGGTTGCAACAGAAGAAAGACACGCTGCAAGCATGCCAAGCAGCGAGTGAGTACGCAACGCTGTACTAATGCCAGTCATGGCAACGGGAGATAAATAATTATGCAGATCGATCAGCGCATGGTTTGATCGAGAGCAGAGTACGAAAATAGCACACATTCAAAGTTCAAACTGTGCAACAGAAGCAGAAGAGGAAAACGAAAATGAACACTTGTCGTGAAGTGAAGTGCTTCTGTCCAAGGGTGCTTGCACCCGACGGGGTGGCAGCGCCCCTAGTCAGACAATACAAGGCAAACGAAATAGAAATTAGCTGAGTCACAGCGCGGGACTCCGAAACGAAAACCGGTGGGTATGTAAATATTAATTGTTTGTACCTGCTGTACAACGTAACAATTGCTCAAATTCGTAACGTATTTTCAAACTAGCACTCGTAGATGTGTAGTGTGAATGTGCCACACGATTAGAGTAACAACGACAAAGAGATACTCTTCTAAACACGGAGCACACTCATTCCGAAACACAGTTATGCCACCAGCACACAGTGTACCATACTCGCGTTCACAAAGATAGCTTCGCTTACACGAATTTGTAGATTCATCCACAGCCGCACAAATAATGCACCGATGCTGTACAATGGATATACTGGAAGCGGAACTAGTGTAGTACCCTACCCCACAAAAGTACTGGAATTGCAAACATTGCCTGTAGAGGTGTAAAGAAATAGCACAATTACTACAAGCTGGAGCATATTCGATTGTACAACTACGCCTGACCAGATACAGTTAAGAAAGCACTTTATACCACACTCTACAAATCGGGCAGGGTTAGCGACGCTACTCTCGTTACCGAATTATTTGGTGCGCGCCGGAGGAAAAGGAAGGGGGAGACAATATCCATTATATTACAGAGGATGCTTGGAGTACAGAAACAAGTAATTTCATTCACGACTGCAACAAAGCTCGAGCGGAGCCGACTGGAGTACACTACGGCACCAATCTGTCAAACCTATGAGAAAAGCATACAATAAAATCAACATATCTGGATAGTCACTGGCGGCAAGCCACAAGCCACAATGCAGAGGACAATGTTACCGGGCTTGATGTTGCGGCTGCGTCGAGACCATTGCTGAAGCACATTCAGCCGAGGCACTATTTCTCGAAACCATCGCCGCCATACCTCGCGTAGGAGCTGTTGGAGGAGCCGCCAACGACGCTGTGGGTGCAACTCAGCGACTTCTTCGAGTGGCAGAGTCAGCTCGCACTGTCCATCTAGGAAGTGCATCGGTGTTAGCGGTGCGGCATCATCCACGTCAATCCGGACAGCGGTCAACGGGCGCGAGTTGAGTAGGCCTTCCGCACTCACCATGGCAGTTACAAGTTCCTCATCAGTGAGATTGGCCTGGGACAGAGTTGCCATCATTGCGCGCTTTGCTGCCTTGACCACACACTCAAATACGCCGCCAAGGTGCGGAGCGAGAGGTGGATTGAAGCGCCAGTGAACTCCTTGGCTGGCCATACTTGCGGCCACTTCATTAGAACCTAGCGCTTGATCAGCTTCTCTCAGCTCGCGCTCTGCACCGACAAAGTTCGTCCCGTTATCTGACACGACCTCAGCTGGCACGCCTCTGCGCTTGCAGAAACGGGTGAATGCTAGGAGAAACGACTCGGTGTCCAGGCCATACGCCATCTAGAAATGACAGGCTCAGGATTGCAAACAAGAGAAGACACAGAGGTACCTCTTGAGCTGGGTCTTGCCACGCCCTTGTTTTGTCCGGAACGGACCGGCATAGTCAACTCCCTCTCTTGAAAATGCCCGGAACGGTGGAGCTGTTCGGAATAGCGGGAGCGGTGCTATCTGCTGCAAAGCCACAGTGGCCCACTTCTTCTTGCAGAGCACGCAGTGTGCACGGTGAGATCGTGTGACAACCTTGCCACGGACGATCCAAAACCGCAGCATCAGGTTTGCCAAGAGGTGGTTTGGGCCCACACTGTGGTCACACTTGCGATCTTCTGCGTCGACTATCAGCTGAGTAATCCGATGGTGCTGGGGCAAGATTATTGGATGCCGGGTATGCTCAGGCAATTGGCTAGCAGTCTTCAGACGACCTCCAACGCGTAGCACACACGGCTAGTCCTTGTCGAGCACTGGATTCCGTAGCAGCGGGTCATTCGCTGCAAGGGACTTCCCTGACGTCAGCTGCCGATACGAAGCGGGATAGCTCTCTGCTTGAGCAATCACATACCAGTGACATTCAGCACGCTGGAGCTCCTCAGACTTCAGCTCCACAGAGTCGACTGCTGTACTTGCTGCTTCCGGATCCCCTCTCGTGCTAGCATGACGTCGACGACAGCGGTTGATGAAACGGTAGCACCAGGCCATCAATCTTACTAGACGTTTCCATGACGAGTAGTTGTTGGGGTGGAGACGAAACACCTCCGTTGAAACTTGCAGCACAGCGAACGCCATCACTTGCACTCGCTTTACCATTCCGGGCAACTCTTTTGGCATGGTTATCTGACGAGACGGCCACTCATTGTGCCGCTGGACGAGGAACTCAGGGCCGCTCCACCATACTGAATCACTGGCTAGCTGGGCTGCTGTCAAGCCTCTGGTGCACTTGTCGGTTGGGTTCAGCTTTCCAGGAACGTGATTCCACTGGTTGCCAGCTAAATACTCTTGTACTTCTGCTATCCGGTTGCCCACGTCGACTTTAAACTTTCTGCAATGTGCTCTCACCCAGTGAAGCACGTTCATCGAGTCGGACCAGTAGGTGGCATCAGCCTTCGGCAGATCTAGCTCGTCATTCACTGTCTGGGCCAGGCAAACACCAAGCATAGCACCCTTCAGCTCCTGCTTCGGGATCAACATCTTCTTAATGGGACATGGACGCGCCTTGGCGAGTGCTAGCGTCACTTGCACATTGCCATCTGGGTACTCAGCATGGACGTACACGTTAGAGGTGTAGGCGGCATCTGAAGCATCAGTGAACAAGTGCAGCGACAATGTAGCGACAGACGACTCGCGACCCGAACACTTGAAGCAGCGCGGCGCACGGATCAGCGCCAGATCTCCCAGCTCGCTAAATGAGGATGTGCATCTCCGCGTGTGCTCAGCGGCCAGTGGATCATCCCAGCCCACGCCGAGGATGTACAGCTCCTGGAACATGACACGAGCGCGAATCGTGAAGGGAGCTAGTTGTCCGCGTGGGTCGAATATAGATGCCATCTTACTCAGCACGGCTCGCTTGGTCAGCTTCTCCGTTGCAGGCGGCTTGAACTCAAAGGCGAAGGTATCATCCTCTGCCGACCACATCACGCCTAGCGTCTTGACTGAGGGTAGCACACAGTGATCATGATCATTGATGCTAGCTATGAGCTGCGGTGAGCGGTCAGCTTCCAGTACGCCTTCGATCACCTCCGAGCTATTGCGGAGCCACTTGCGGAGGTGGAAGCTGCCCTGCTCAAGGATGTCCTGTACTGTCTGCTGTGTGCGGATGGCTTCCGGTACGGAGACAGCAGAGTGCAGCAGATCATCCACATACATGTCTCGGTCAACGATCTGCAACATGGCTGGGTCATATTTGTCGGCTGTTTCGCGGCACACCACTTGTAGCGCCTTGCATACCAGGTACGGAGACGCCTTGATGCCGAACACCAATCTCTCGAACTCGTATACGCGTGAGTCCCACACAAAGCCATGATATCGGCGGTCTTGCTCAGCAAGTACGATTTGCAGGAACATCTCAGTAATGTCCGCCGTGAGAACTACTGGCTCCTTGCGGAACCGCATAAGCACTTTCACTAGGTCATTCTGCAGAGTGGGTCCAGCGTACATGCACTCATTGATCGACGTGTCGTCATGCTTGGCAGCAGCATCAAAGACGATACGTACCTTCGTGGTGGCCTTGTCATCTCGTACAATGGCGAAATGCAGCAGGAACCACTGGTCGTCGCAATCTGCCTCAACCTCTGCTGCCGACACTACGCGCACATAGCCTTTGTCAATGTGGCTACATATGACTTTGCCGTATGCTGCCTTCAGCTCTGGACGCTTGTCCAGCGATTTCCCTAGCATTCACAGGCGATGGTCTGCCATGGCGCGATTAGCGGTGACACCAGGCTCGCCGTTGCTGTGGATACATGGGACTGCCATGGTGACTCCCTGATCATGAAAGCTGATGGATTTCTCAACGATCTCCTCAGCCAGCTTCTCTGCAGAGGTGATGTAGGTGCCTTCGTGCTTCATACCGACTGCCTCCAGATTCCAGAGATTCTGGACCAGGCTGTGTATGCTGCATTCGCTGTATAAAGCATGCACATAGTTGACGGACAACTCGTCACCACTGGGTGCACTGGGCGTTGGGCCATACACACCCATCCTAGTGGCGTCTTGCGGGCACTTGGTCCACCGCTGCTGCTTCTGTACTCCGCGAGTGATGCGTGGGCATTAAAGACGTCTAGACCAATCAGGAGGTCGACCGTGGTGCTGGAGATTTCGGGAAAGTCTATGAATTTCAGATGCTCCTAGCTGGACTTGTACCGGCTCCAGTGGACGACCTGCGTCTTCTTGGTCACACGATCATATACGCATGCCTTGAGCAGGTATGACACTGTTCCATCAATGGATTCCATCTGCACCTTGACCAGTTCCCGATAGCTGGAGGTCTGCTGTGCACCAATCGGGGATGTGTTCAACATGTGAACTTCACCTGCCATGTCCAACTCAGGGGCTACATCCTCCCGTATGAAGCTTGCAGTCGAGCCTGAGTCCAGCATGGCCGTACAGATTGCCGACTTGCCAGTTGGGCCAATAATCTTCACTGGCACGGTAGCGAAAGCGGTCGTCTGCGGCACGCTGACACTAGCATGGTGAGAACTTTCCTGCCGAGGTGCCGGAGCTGCTGACCGCATCGTAGCGGGATTCTGTGCTGCAGCTTGTTGTGGCTGCACTGACTTGCTGTAGTGCCGAAGTGAGTGGTGCATCTCTCCACAGTGGCAACATTCCAGCTTCTGGCACTCACGCGCCCAGTGCCCATGCTCCAAACAACACCTACACAGCTTGGCACGCTTGACCAGGTCCCAGCGGCGCTTGGTTGTCAGCGCCCTGAAATCCGTACACTCTGCTGTGGCATGGCTCTTGCTGAACTTGGCACACTGCTGAGTACTGAACTCCACAGCATACACAGCAGATGACCTAGGCTTTGGCGGGACCGCAGGAGGTGTCTTCTTCAACTTCTCTGTGCCGACTGTCGCCAAGATGTCATCGGCTCGCGTTCTGGACCCGTTTTACCAGCCAGAACGACAATGTGGTTGCGTTGCATTTGCTGTCTGGATGTGGTTCGTAAAATCGTATAACTACACTTCTGGGTAGCTTCTCCAGCGCACTTAGGAATAGCTCCCTCCAGCCAAGTCCAGGTTCATGAGCACATTTCTGAGCTTGACAGCAAAATTTCCGCCGGGCTTCTGAATCACGGTCTGCGATTCTGGGATGGTTCAGGATCGCCTTCTCCTGTAGTGCCAGGTGGCGGTCTTCTCCCCATACCACTGGTGAAGTTCTGCCCAAGCAGCAGCGTATGCGCCTGGCCTGTCAAACATCTGGGCCACAATGTCCTCAGCCAAGCTTCCTTGGAGCGCCTCCTTGAGCCTAGCCAGCTTATAATCGTCGGATACGTAGCGATCCTCATCCACCAGCCGCTTGAACGATTCACTCCACCGCATAAACTGTTGTGCGTTTCCGCTAAACTTGGGCAGCTCCAGCGGCTTCAAGTGGTGTAAAGCACTGACCCCATGCGGGCTTTGCATACTGACAAGCCAATCATGCACATGGGGCTCCACAGCCGGTTCCGGATGAGGAGACCACTCAGAAAGTCTACTCATTGGAGCACTATAGCCAACTGACGTTGCTCTGCTGCTCAGACTACACGTGGCTTCGGTGGTGGTGTTGGCCGTGTGTGTGGTGCTGGGATCGGTGGCACAGACCGCATGTGCGGTGGTGTAAATGGTGGCACAGGGGTAACTTGTTCTGTGACTGCTGATTGTTGGCCTGATGCCACTTGGCCAGAAACAGACTCAACAGGCGAATCCAAAATCGCAGCCATCACACCAGCACTCTCCTTACCAAACTTCGCCTCTCACTCGTCCAACTCATTCAGCAGTTGTTCACTCTCTTGGGATTCCAACATGCTGCGCATAATTTCTAAAACCGAATTCAGCTCTGAACGTACAAATTCCAATTCACGGACATCAGGCTGCAAATATCGGCGAGATGGCGACGAGCAAGCAATCAGTGTTCGGAAGCGGTTACTTATCCACGTGCGGCGTCTACGAAGGTTTGTTCTGGGACGAATCAACTCTTTCCAGCGGTCCTCAAGTTCCTCAACAGGAGTTTCACCCACGCTCGTACCATAATGGCGTGGCGTAAAACTACTAGTCACAAACTCTGGTGGTGGCGGAAACGCCATTACCACCGCTGACACTACCAGTCGAAACTTGTCGGATCCAGCTCGAAGGACCAAATGTTTCACCGGTTCCCTCGCGATCGCACACTGACATTAGACACAACCATTGGAGGCATCGATCTATTTAGAAGACTGTATCGCCAAACATGTTCTCAAAACACCATTGAAGAATCTAACCTAAAAAGAACAAAGAACGGAGAGCTGGGGACGCACGTACCCGGCCCCGTACCGGACACACAGCCAAGGAGGACGACACCGTATCGTCCCCACGCTTGATTGGCAAAGAAAACAGTAAGCAAAAAAAATCGGCCAGCAAGCGCAGTTCAAGTCTTTGTGGTCCACTTCACAACAATAACACACACAGAACTCTGCTGTGAGCACGGTGGCTCGGCAATGGCTGTGAGCACGGTGGCTCGGCATGGCTTTATTATTGATATTATATCTCCTTCCTGATATTTTTTTCTTTTTTTCTTTTTTGAATAATTGTACGCATAGGGCCTATCATAAGAAAAATTAGCACAAGACACTGCTGCTACTGTAGTCGCACAGCAAAACACACAGAAAACGACAAAATGTTACAATGAATGTAACAACACCCCTCCAAGCTAAAGGATCGACATCCCTGCCCCAGGACGGCATCTCGAAACCCCCACACACTCACCACACGGTCATCATCCAGCTTTAGTTCAATCACTGTATTCTTCCCCTGCAGACTCAACCCCCCTGTCACTAGCCATACAATCTGAAGCTGTATGTAACCATACAATGGCCCACGACGCACACACCACCCCTACGTTTTTTAACTAAAAAAGAAAAGCAGTCGGAACTGCAACAGCCACACGGCCAAGCAGTCGTAACTGCAACAGCCACACGGCCAATAAGAAAAACCAATACGATAATATATCGATAAACACACACCCAGAAGTCAGGGGTGGGAGGGTGGGATACAAACTGCACCAACGAAAAGCCACTGCGAAGTGACAGAAATGCGGTCCAGCACAACATGTTTGCGGACGCAAAAAGTTGTGGGGAAATCCCAAAATCGGTGCGATTTTGCATGAGTCCAAATGTTCAGGTTACCCACAAAGACACAAGCTTTCCAACTCTCTTTGGCCGTTAGAAAGCGTACCACATCTTGAGCGACATGCGCAAAGCAAAACATGTGACAGAAAATAATGCATGATGTCATCTGTACTCACGCGGACATGCAAAAAAGGTCAAATCTACACAAAAGCGAGTGCCGCAAGACACAGCACAAATAAATATTAATTCAAACAGCGAAGAACTAGAAAGGCAGATTTTCTAACTATCGAAATAGAAGAATGTATCGTAGAGTCCCAGCGCAACTGTCGGAGGATGCTGGCACCCAAAAGACGAGTGATGGCTGCCCCTGCCAGAGAGATAGAACGAAAACCGAAGCAGAGGAGCCATGTTACAAATAGTGAAACGCACAAGGTAAGAATAATCGAGCAGTGTCCAATTACGACATACGGAGTAATATACATGGTAAACGAAGACAAACGCTAACAAATGGAGAACGTTCCAACATTAAGCCAAGTGTGAAGACGTACGGGAGAGGACCGAATTACAATGACAATAGAAGTGATAACAACAGTGGATTTTAGACATTGTGGAAGACCGCGTAATTAAACCAGAACTTTGAGACTAGAGAAGCTAGAGTGAGAAGCTCACACACACACACACACACACACACACACACACACACACACACACACTACTACTACTACTACTACTACTACTACTACTACTACTACTACTACTACTACTACTACTACTACTACTACTACTACTACTACTACTACTACTACTACTACTACTACTACTACTACTACTACTACTACTACTACTACTACTACTACTACTACTACTACTACTACTACTACTACTACTACTACTACTACTACTACTACTACTACTACTACTACTACTACTACTACTACTACTACTACTACTACTACTACTACTACTACTACTACTACTACTACTACTACTACTACTACTACTACTACTACTACTACTACTACTACTACTACTACTACTACTACTACTACTACTACTACTACTACTACTACTACTACTACTACTACTACTACTACTACTACTACTACTACTACTACTACTACTACTACTACTACTACTACTACTACTACTACTACTACTACTACTACTACTACTACTACTACTACTACTACTACTACTACTACTACTACTACTACTACTACTACTACTACTACTACTACTACTACTACTACTACTACTACTACTACTACTACTACTACTACTACTACTACTACTACTACTACTACTACTACTACTACTACTACTACTACTACTACTACTACTACTACTACTACTACTACTACTACTACTACTACTACTACTACTACTACTACTACTACTACTACTACTACTACTACTACTACTACTACTACTACTACTACTACTACTACTACTACTACTACTACTACTACTACTACTACTACTACTACTACTACTACTACTACTACTACTACTACTACTACTACTACTACTACTACTACTACTACTACTACTACTACTACTACTACTACTACTACTACTACTACTACTACTACTA